AGATTTTGCCAAATTGCTATTCCCACGGGCTATCCACTTACCATGTTGCAAAGCCCTCCTCTCTCCTGCAGGCTCGTACATATTGTCCTGCGGATACTTCCTCTCTTCTGAATCTCAGAGTTGAAGACAGCCTAACCATGGCCTCCCAGAGATACTGGGCAGTCCTCCTTCTGGCTCATCCTACTGCTACTACCTCTACCAAGCCATCCTTGTACCTGTGTAAGTTCAAGGGCTTTCCCCACGGCATCTTATTTGATTCTATCTCGTGGGATAGGAAGCAAAGTTATAACAGCACTGTCTGGGATGTGAGGGCCAGAGAGGTCAAGCGATTGGTCTAGGGCCCCCAGATGGATGGATGGAGAGCCAAGATGAGAAGCCAGTGCCCTCCCTTCTTGCTGAGTACTCTTCCCACCACATCACTGTTACCCAAAGATGGTGATATAAGTCTGGGTGAAGGAAGTTTTGTCAGATATGAACTGATGCCACTAAGTTATTTAAAATACCTACTATGGGCCAGACACTGGGTCTAGAGATAGCCGCCAGGGAGCTCACAGTCCAGTGGGGAAGACAGGCCACCCCTTGGGTCATGTCAGAGTGAGGAATCCAGAGCCAAGCCAGGACTGACGTTGGGGTGGACCCTAGCCAGCACAGGGAGCTCAGGTAAGGCTGCATGTGGGCTGGCCAGACTAAGGAAAGGCGTTTCAAGAAGTGTGAAGAGTGTGTTTCCAAAGATGACTTGACATATGAGCATAGAGCTTGTGAGTAGTTCCATATGGCTGGGCACACACATCTGTGTGGACATCTGTGGTTTGCTCTGCCCCACATCCATTCTCCTTCTAGATAGAGTCCCTGGACTCTCCTCTGGGGAATCGGCCCAACCCCACTTTCCTGTCTCCAGGATGGGCAAGAAACCAGCAGGCCAGTGAGACTCAACTTGGGGACTTCTGCAGGAATGATGGGAAAGACAAACTCTCTTTCCAGTGGGATGCTGGGTATTTCCACAAGAGAAAGCCTGCCCGGATGAAAGCAGAGTCAAGGGACTGAGAGAGATGGAGACCAGAGGAGATGGATTAGTCCCCTGGATCCAGCCAAGCCTGAAAGGTCCATCCTGGAATTTCCACCGTGTGAGCCAACTGATTCCAGTTTTTCACTGAAATCAGATTGACTAGGATTTGGGTCATCTGTAACCAAGAGTGCAGACTAAGGCAATGGGGCAAGCGGACAGGGGGAGGGTGGACGGACAAGCAGGGGTCAGCTCACAGAGGCAGGTACAGGCAGGCTATGAAGTTAAACATTTAACCAGCCACTAGAACAGGGAAGATTCTAACTGCAAACCTGGAGAACTTTGATAGTCTGACTGTGCCTTTTGGAAACAAAATCTCTCCTGGCTGAGAGAGAGAGAGAAAGAGTGAGAAAAAAAGTCAATGACTCTTCCAGAAATTTCAGAGCCTTCAGAATACCTCTTCTAGGGTTTTCCCATCAGGATAGATGGCCTACTCTGGAATAGGAGCCAAAGTATTAATTCATCAGTCCCGATGGCGCATATCAATTTATCTTAATTTCTGAAAATACACTTGAGCCTTTCAGACCATTCTCTTTTCTTTGCACCAAGAAGAAAACGGGTCTCAGCAGAGATGAAGCAGAGGGAATACCGCCCTTTCAAAATGTTCCGCTCTGGCTGAAATGGAACACCTGGCATCACAGGGAGGTGTCTCTGGCACATGAATGGGCTTCCCTGTCCCCTCAGCACGGCGGGCAGGCCTTCGGCGGGGTCTTGGGAGACAATGTGCTGGAGAGGAGCCATCACAGGCTCTGGGAACCCACACTCTCCAAGCCAGGAGAGAGAAAACTGAGGGAGGCCAGTCTCCCTTCCAGACCTGGGCGCCTCCTCATTACACAGAACACTTTCCCCTCGAGAAGAGGGACATTAATTGGATCAAATGAAACAGGAGCCAGCCTCCTTCCCCCTCCCGGGTGAGAGACTTCCAATATGGCTTCATTACCAAGTCTTTTGTAAATAAACTGTGCGGAGAAAAATGCCATTTGTTCTGCTGTAATTGCCTGATGAGCATCATTAGACGGGTCTTTGAAACCCACAGAATGAAGTCTTTTTGGGTTTAGGAACTCCTTTGTGCAAAGCCTTCTCTGTTCACTCTTCTCCAGGGAGGGCGTTTCTGAACCGGGACTTCTTGACCATGGGGGTTGGTTTCTGGCCAGTGACACAATGGCTCTGTTTGACACACCGACACAAAGTTATTCAGTGCCTCGTCCGTGTCAGGCAATCCTTTAGGGACCTGGGATACAGCAGTGAGTAAAACACACACACACACGCCTATCCTATTGCCATTTCCTTTCTGGTGAGCACTCAGAACACAGGTGTGCCCATTTCTGGGCACACACTTGGTAGGAAACTTCGTAAGTCAAGATTGTTTGCCGGATTGAGGAACTGTGAGGTTACAACTCTTTGGATTCCCTGTGTGTGGTTTCACTGTACCCATAAAGATGTGACATTTGGAAAACGAGACTGCATGGCCTTGGGATATGAAATGAATGATATCTGTGCCATCACTTGCTAGGCCTGCACCCATGGCAGACATCACTAATCAATCACTGCCTTTCCTGATTAGCTCAGCTGCAGCTTTGGAATACACAGTGACACAGTGCTGGGTAGCCCCTATCCCTGAGCAGATCGGAGTTGGCTGTGAGAGGAAACCTCTTTGCTATTTCTTACTTAGACTGTCATTAATTCACTTCACTGAGAGGCTGTAGAATATCCCAGTAAATTAAGAATAACCCCAGGAGCGGGGCAAAAACAGATGAAAGGGGGAAAGACTGTGGTCAACTTCACAGGCTCGTTTTCCTCTCAAGTGTCCTTCTCTCCCTCTCCTGTCCCCACAGAGGCCTAGGAAACGTGGCAGGTCAGAGTGCAGGCTCTGCAGTCAGGCACACCTGGGGCCAAGTCCTGGTTCCATTACTCCACCTATGTGGGGCCTTGGTCTGAGCCCCACTTCCCTGCCTGTGAAATGGGCATAATGACGACATCACTCTGCTAGGGATGCTGGGAGGATGAAATAAGCCAACACGTGTGAAGGCCTTGGCACAGTGTCTTGTCAGCTCTGAGCAGGGCTGAAATCCAGCTGTTGCACATCAGAGGGGACACAGACCTGTTTGCAGCTGGCGTCCACTCTGACTGGTTGGTGCCTGGACCCTCATCACTGCTAAATACTTCGACTATCAGCCCTGGACATGAGTGTTAGTTTAGGGGCCGGGCCCCTTACGGGAGACAGCTCAGAACTCCGGAGGTAGAACAGACACAGATCGCCCTTCAAACCAAGATAATGTTGTGGCAGAATTCCAGGTTGTTTTCTTGCTAAGGAAGGGTTTATGTTCCCCGGTTCCGAACGGCTCAAGCAGCAGTGCGCGCAGTGACAGTAATGATGTCGAGAATGAAAACAGACTTTGGGATGTTGTTAAGGAGCACCCAACCAGCATGGTCACATTTAGTTCTCTGCTCGGCCCCGCGAGGATTCAAATATCATTAAGCTCATTTTGTGGAAGCAGAAACTGAAGCTCGGAGAGGTGAGCCTTCCTTATCCAAGATCACACAGCTGGTCAGAAGAGGCAGAGCTGGGATGTGACCCATCACCAAAGTCTTAGTCACTGAGACAATGGTCTCTTGCATAAAAAGTTGGTGCCCAAGCTGGGGGTGGGGGGCGAACTGGGGTTGCATTTTCCCAGCAATGCTGCTACTGGCCATCCCTTGTGGGCAGGGATATGCCTTCCCAGGGCTCCTGGGGATGTTAGCAGTAGGCCCTTGCAGGCCCCAAGGGCACAGAATAAGCTAACCCTTTCCTCAGAGGGGCCAAGCCTCTCTTCTTCACCTGACTCAATGTGGAATCCCACAAGTGAAGGAGAGAAAGTGGCCCTAGAAGTGTAGGTAGCTAACTAGTAACCACCATTTCCCTACTACCATTGTCCAAGCTTCTATAGCACATGGGCTGGTGTAGGGTAAATGTTTATTCGCTGGATCCTTTTTTTTTTTTTTTAACATTTTTTGTTGTTGTTTAATTATTTTAGACAGAATATGCGCGTGCACCCACCCATGTAAGGGACCAGGGGGAGGAGCAGAAGGGGAGGGGGGAAAGAATCTCGAGCAGATTCCCTGCTGAGTGCAGAGCCAGGTGTGGGGCTTGATTGCTTGGCCCAGGGATCATGACCTGAGCCCAAACCAAGGGTCGGACACTTAACCGACTGAGCCACCCAGGTGCCCCTCACTGGTTCTTTAAAAAATTCTACCAATTCTTGCTGGTTGTGTCCCCAGGTTGTATGTTAAGCACTTCTAAGATATTACCTCATTCAATCTTCACAACAGGTCTGTACGGTAGGTAGTATCATTACTCTCTTATTTCAGATGAGGAAAGAAAGCTAATGGAACTTGGCCCAAATCACCAAGCTCCTGAGAAGTGGAGTTGGGATTTGAAACCACACTTTTCTAAGTCCACAACTTGGGCTCTTGACCACGACTGGTCTCTACGACCCACTCCAGCAGTGGTGGATACAAAAAGGAAAACCTGAGAGGGGTGGCCAGGAAGCACTCAGGCCAACTCAGGATCTGGGAGGCCAGGGGACATCCTCGGAGCACAGTACTCCCTTAAACTGTGTATCCTGCTTGTCCTGGTTTCTGTTCCCTGCTGCTGGTTTGCTGCATGTCTCACTGGGAGACATGACACCATCCTCACCGGAAGTGAGACCTGTCTTATTTTAACGCTGCTGTCCTAAGAAGTGGCCAGTGTAAGAGCCGTGGTTAAGGCCGGTCTATGGCAACCTGAGAGGGCACCCCATGTCCACTATCACACACAACAAGGAGTGGCCCATGGCCCCTGACTTCTTCACTTGAGCAACAGGAGCTGCAGAACCCTGAGGGTCCAGGCTTTCCAGGCTCAGGACAGATGCCGAGCGGGTACGGCAGGGAGAAGGGGGCATCCAAGAAGGCCGCTTACCTTGAATGAGATTTCATACTGCTCCCCTCCCCAGATCTCCAGGCCTGGGTCATACCCGCCCAGTTCCCAGAACCATTTTCGATCCACAGCGAACAGTCCACCGGCCATCACGGGAGACCTGTCAGGGAAGAAGAATGTGGTGTGAAAACAAACGCCCCAGCTGCGTGCTCTGAGTGTGAGCGGACACTGCTGCTCCCCCAGGATGGTGTTGCACGCTGCCCTGTGAGCACAGCCCATATGTCTAGCGGGGAATCCAAGGCCCTTCCAAGGGAGGGCTCAGGCTGTCTTCTATCTTGGCCGTAACATCCCTTCTTAAATGCTACCTTTTAACTGAACCGATCCAAAGCTCCTTTCAGCCGTTACTTTCGAGAGGAAATCATAGGAACGTGGGCCTTGCAGCTTCATTGGCCACGCCTCTCTGGTCCTCCCATGCATTCAATTGTCTCAATCAGGTCCCTCCAAGCCTGTCTGGGTGTGGAATCTCTTAGAGAGAAGACAAAACACAGCTTGCTGGGCCCTTCCCCAGACCTATGAAGCAGTCCCTGGGGGATGAAGCCTAGGATTGTGTGTTTTCAGACAGGTTCCTTGGGTGATTCTCAGTCAGCCCAGCACTGGACATCTATTCTGCTGAGAGTCTGCAGAAGAAGACACAGTCTCTGTTCTCTCTGTTAAATTGGGATACAGTGAACTGCACACATTCACTGCCTCATTGCTCTAATCACTGAGTGCCAGCTGAGCTGTAGATGCTGGGGCAATTTGGAGGTAAATCAGAGTTGACCTGGGACTTCAGGGGATGCTAGTGTGGGTGGGCAGCCTCGTCAGGATAGTAGGATCCAGAAGACCGGTGTGGGGTAACAAGGGCCTCTGGCAGGTGCAGAGAGCACTATGGGAACACCAAAGGAGGGACTGTCTGCTTCCAGATCTCGGGAGGTGAGGAGGGAGGCTGGGGCAAGAGTCAAGGAAGGGTGCTTGCAGGGTGGCATTTGAGGTGGGTTTGGACAAGTGGGAAGTGAAGGGAGAAGAAGGAACCCTGGAGAGGAAAACCCCAGGAGCAGGAGCACAGGGATGATAAATTGGGGCACCATGGGCAATAAGACGTCAGCATGGCATCATGCCAAGCCCAAGGGGGATGCCACACTGTAGTCCGCCTACATTCCCCCCACAGTGTCTCACAGGCCTGGTCCTTGAGAGGGCTACCAGTATTTGCTGAGGGAAGATCTCTTAAGAGTTGCCATGTCCTTGTCAGGCTCCACCGAAAAACTCCAAACCCTCAGACCAGATAACATTCCAGCAGCAACTTCCCACCACCTCCTGGCCTTGGGAACTGCAAGCTCATGGAAATTGGGCTGATTGAAAAAGAAGGTAGCTAACCCACATGCCTCCCAAGCTTCCCTTAGCAGGAGAGCCTTGACAGCAGAGGAGGGACTCCTTTCAAAGAAGAGCCCCTTGAATATTCACTGAGGGCTCAAATGTGGCAGGTGCTTGCCTGAACTAATTTTTTAATAAGATGGCTACTCCTCACGTTGACCTCCTGAGATGGGCCTTGTCCTTCTCACCCTGCTGATGCATATAGAAACCAGAGCACAGACAGGTAACTTGCTCAAGGCTTCACAGCTACCAAGAAGGTTTTGAATCTCAAATCTTTGCCAGAGCTCACACCCCTCAGGGCCTCAAAACAATTCTTTCTGTCAGGCAGGAGCCATCAAGAGGCAGGTGATGCGTGACCAGGACAGGGGATCGGGGTGGGGAAGCCAGTCCTCCAGCTTCTTCTCTCCTTTACCTATGGCGGGATCTGAGACGAAGCGGTTAGCCACTTAACCCTGTGTCGCCTGGTACAGGCCACAGGCCACATGCAGCTGCCAAACACCTGGAATGTGGCTACTCTGAACTGAGATGTGTTGGAAGCGTAAGAAACACCCCGGATTTCCAAGACTTAGTGTGAAAAAAAGAATAGGGAAGGCCTCATTAATAAGTTCAGGGGTGCCCGGCTGGCTCAGTCAGTGGGACTTGCAACTCTTGACCTTGGGCTTGAGAGTTTGAGCTCCGTGCCAGGTGTGAGATGACTTAAAAAGAAAATCTTAAAAAAAAAAAAAAAAAAAAAAACACAATTTTGAAGTGTGGGTCACATGTTAAAATGAGACTATTCTAGGTATACTGGGTTACACAAGAGTATATTACAAAAATGAATCTTAGCTGCTTCTCTTTACCTTTTTTATGTGGTCACTAGGAAATCTGAAAGTACTTATGCGGCTCGCATTATATACGGGCGGTGCTGACTGCACACCTCTGGGCCGGTCTGCCCATCTACACAATGAATGTATAGCTGTGTTTCCAAGCTCGCATTGCCATTATATTTCTGAAAGTACCCAGTATTATGAAAAATAAGGTGTCTAGTATCAACTCTCCTTTGTCTCCCGCAGGTTGTGCGGTTTGGGGTTTTTTTGGCAGGAGCTGCAAATACTCCGCTTGGAGGGGCAGGGAATGTTTTGGAGTCTTGTGGTCCATGGGAAATCAAACCCAAGACTCTGTACAGGGAAATCAGCCTGGGTGGAAACCAGGGTCAGAGGCCAAGGAGCTGCTGTGTAACCGGGAGGATATTAGCCTTAAGGCATTTAGATACTGGAGGCTCACCTCCAGAGGGAGGCCTCCCCTCTGGCCCCGTCTGTTTTCTGCTGTGTTCAGCAATAATGACAACAATTCTCAGTGTCTAGTGCCTACCGCTCGCTTTCCCATCATCTCCGACTCTCACAAAGCTCTATTCCTAGCCTCCCTTTCAGATGGAGAAATCTGAAATTCAGAAATGCTACCTTCTCTGCTCAAGGGCAGGCACTAAGTGGACAAGGCTCGGTTCCAGCGGGGGCTGCCACCAAAGCCCGGGTCCTTTAAACATCACCCTACTGTCCTGTGCCTGCAGACTGCCCGCTGGCTGGCCCCGTGGAGGGGTATGCAGAAAATGACCGGGATTTTTCCAGTGGCCTCTCCCTGGGTTTTGTCCAAGTACAGTTACAGAAAAGACACTTCTGGAAAGAATCAGGATACAATAGGTGGAGAGTCACTCAGGAAGCATCTAGGCCAGTGGCTCTCAACTGTGGCTGCACACCAGCATCCCCTGGGGCTTTAAGGAGCATGGATACTGAATCCCAGCCCCAGAATCCAGTGTAACTGGGCTTGGGTGTGGCTGGTGGGTTTTGTTTGTTTGTTTTGACAAACTCTTCAGGTGACACCAGTATGCAACCAGGGTTGAGTGCCACTGACCTAGAGCAGGCCTGATGCCTACTGGGAGACACGGGGGAGAGGCCCCGGAGGAAACCAGAGGTGGCCTCTGCCACTAAGCAGCTGTGGGGACTGGACTTACCCTTTCCTCATTCTGCACTGAGAAGATGAACATGCGAGACCCATCTTTATGCACATTTCAAATGTAGGGCCTATAAGTCAGATTACAGTACCAGTTCAAGCCAAAAGGGGTTCTGGTTACCCCAAAAAATCTGTTTTCTGGAGTAGCCCATGTCACCTTGGGCATGTCTCATGTCCTCTGTGAGCAGCAGGGTCTGCATCAGGCAAAGGTGGAGAACCATACCCACCCCCTGCCAAGGGCACCTTGGTGAGGACTGTGTGTGGACAAGTAATGAACCCCTTCTCAGATGGGGAGCGTGAGGTGCAGGGAAGCTGGGGTTCACTGGGGTTAAACTGTGCTTAGGCAGGTGTGGTACACAGGAAAATGGTCCCCTACCTCCTGGAACCTGGGAATAGGTCATCTTTGCAAAGGGACTTCGCAAATATAATCAGGTGAAGGATCTGAGATGGGGAGATTGTCCTGGTGGTCCCAGTGCAATCACAGGGGTCCTCGGACGTGAAAGGAGGGCCAGAGTGAGAGAAGGGGACGTGATGATGAAAGATGGATAGAGGAGGGAGATGGAGTGGGAGGGGAGAGGGACTGAGAGGGACCGGTGGGGGGAAGGGGGAGAGAGGGAGACTTGGAGGTGTTATGCTGCTGACTTTGAAGATGGAGAAAGGAGCCAAGAGCCAAAGCCTCTAGAAACTAGAAAGTACAAGCAAATGGATTCCTCCTTAGAGCGTCCAAAGGGGACACACCCCTGCCAACACGGTGACTTTAGCTCAGGAAGACTCCTTTTCAGACATCTGAGCTCCAGAACTTTAAGAGAATAAATATGCGTTGTTTTAATAAGCCAGTAAATCTGTGATCATTTATAATTAGTAAACTAATACAGCCAGGAAACTGGGTATTGGCTTTCCACAGGTTTTTCCACACCTCCAGCAGGGGAGCCAGAGTGGCCCACAGGACAGCACAGGATGGGCGCCTGAGAGGCCCTGACTCTAATTCTGGTCTGGCCACTAACTTACTGTGTAAGTCAGCTGCACCCTCCCTTCCTGGGGCCTCAGTCTCCCCATCTGCAAGGGGCTGGAGTCCATTACCTAGAGGTCCCCCTGGCTTTCACATTCTAGGACATTACAGGTCCACTCCACACAGTCTCAAACTTCTACCATGGGACAAGCTGCGATTTCCCGAACACTTCCCTAATCTTTCCGAGACAGTGTAACTAAAGGATGGGACAATCGGCTCCAGAGGCAGACAGAACTGCGTGTGTATCTGGCCTTGACCCACTTGAGCTGGGAAAGCTGCCTCACCCCCTGGAGCCTTTGTGCCCCGGCTTGGACAAGATGGAGAATAACTCTGACTACCTATGGTTGTGGGGGGTTAAAGAGGACCTGCATGCAATGTGCTCAGCACTCAGCTGGCACTTAGCAAGGGTTCAGCCCGTGCTGCTGGTGCTGCTGATAGTGACTACGACTGCTCACTAGACTTAAGGGACAGAGCCACTGGGCTCACCCCCATGGGCCGTCTGGCCAACCACAGATGTGGACAAGGAAGAGGTGGCCAGCTGGGAGGTCCCTGAGCTGAGCTGTGTGACAGGCTGGGAGGGGCTGTGCTTCCGGTTGGGGATGTCGGCCCTGTCCCCATGCTCCACACTCTTGGGGGAGGGGGTGATCCTGAGTTGGGTGTGTTGGGTAGGGGTCACCGGGTCAGCCACTGGGACCAGCCTGGGTCACTTGTACTTACTCAAATGGGTCGCTGGGGTCAGCTTTCTGCAGTTCTGGAGGAATTGGGATCCGCTTATAGTACATCTCCCAGTCAAAAGCGCCCCGCATGGCATCCCCCGCCTGTGTTTCGTACCGGAAGTCATCGTGGTCAATCACGTCAATCATCGGGCAAACGATGGTCTTGCGGTTCCGAGCGATACGGTCTGAAGAAGCCAAGAGATCCCCGTTAGGGAGGCGGGACGGGGGAGCAGCTAAGAGCACGACCCCGCTCTGCAGCTTAATCTCATTTTTAATGTGCCCTGAGTGAATTCTCTGAACACTGGAATTTGAGAATCCCAAGAAGAAGGGAGAGTGCAGGCTTTAAGAAAGATGGGCCAGGCCTCCCATCCCAGCCCTGCTGCCTGTGAGCTACATAAATAATGTCTGTGAGCCCCAGTGTTCTTTGTGAAACAGGGAGAAGAGGCTCCGAGTCTCAGGTGGCTGAGTACCAAACACCGTGACAGCTAGAGGCGCTCAGCATGGTTGCCTGTAATGGTCAGCACTATGGTGGAGAGAGGCTCATTTTCTTCTGGGAGACCTCCTGTCCTGGCCTGTCAGGCTCTACCTTGCAGGTCCTAACCTTGACTTGTGGCCCAAAGTAGCCAGGCATCCCAGCACGTGCTCCTGACAGTTTCTCAGAACTTCCGAACTATGGTCGGTGGCTGAGTGGCCCTTCCTGTTAGAGTTCAGCTCAATTCTTCCAATGGTGGCAACTACTGAAGAGGGAATGGGCTATGTCATGAGTCCCTCATGACCTGACATGTGCAAGCAAGGCCTGGCAGATCTCTGCTCTGCAGGAATTCTCTGGGCTAGGTGATTCAAGATGGCGGGTGGGCTCCCTAACTGGATGGCCTTTCATGGTCCCCTTTCAGTCAGGAAGAAGCTGATTCTATAAAATTCACTCTGCTCAACCTACCAACCAGAATTTTAAGCTTTGGTTGGCTTTGTTCTTCAATGTTCCTTCTGCGAAGAAGCTGGGGTGTGCCAGCGATCAGGGAAGATGATCTGCCATAAGGGGCAAATGGGCTGTGCTTAGGGGTCCATCTGCTGGGGCCAGCAGTCAAGTTCAAGGCTTGGAGAGTGGAGCCTGGTAGGGCCAGTGGAAGCTGGCAGCGGCCTAGGGTTCAGGCTTCATCAAACAGAGTTTTCTTCCAGGAGAGAAAGCAGCATTTTTGCCTTTTTCTAAGCTACAAGACACGATCCACAGGTGGGTCATGAAACTGACTCAGTGTGTGTGTAAAATCAACCAAAAAAGAATACTGACTGTCAGGGTGCATTCCAAGTGATAAATACTTCTTTAGGAAGTGTTTTAGTCCTGTTGTATGGGTGTGTGTTTGAGTACCGGATTGAGATGTCCAGTGTATTTCTAACTGTGGCACATGATCAAAACAGATCGAGAAATGCTGCTTTCGGCAGTGTGTCCTCTGGCTGCCAGTGCCAGTGCACTCACGCTGTGTTTACAAGCCAACCAGGGCTGCCCCTGCCCCAGCTGCATTGAATCAGAATCTCTGGGGGTGGAGCCTGCGTCTGCCTGGTGAATGGGCTCGCTTAGTGAAGTCAAAGAAACTTCTCCAAGGAAAGATCTAAAGAAGTGCTTCCCTTCCCAGTTATTCAGGGCTGCGCAGGGGATTTCACCTCTACAGAGGCTCTGGGCCCAGGACACAGGGCTCTGCTGGAGGTTGGTTGATTGTGGGAGGTGGTAGGTCAAGGGTGGCATTGGACAGACAGCATTCCGGGGTGCTGCACTCGCTGGGGGACAGAATGCCCAGGTCCAGACCCTGGTGTCATCACCTACGCGCAGCAGTACCTTGATAAAGGTTATCTGATGCTTCTGAACCTTGGTTTCCATGCCGACAAAATGGAGAAAGACAACACCAGTCTCCTGGGGTCCCTGTGAAGACCGAGTGGGACAGTGGGGCCAACATGCTCAAGCCAGCCTCTCCCACATGCGCACATCCCATCAGCATGCCACAGACATGGTCTGTGACCAGGCTTGAGGAAAGAAGCTCAGAAGCTGGGCATCTCCCTCGTTCTCCTGGCGCTTTAGTTTTCTCATTTGTTGTATGTGGATAATAACGCCTGGCCTGTCTGCTTTACCCCATACCCATCAAATTCAAATGTGGCTGTGTCATAAAAAGCTAAGGGACTAGCAGAGCCATGTGGATGATGATGACAGACGACGACGACGACGAGAGTAGTGGTGGTGGAAATGAGGATCAACAGTGGTTTTCCTTTGGGGGGACTGAACCCTTCTCAGGCTCAGGAATGCCTCATCGACACAGAAGGCGGAGTGAGCTATGCAAGGAGGTGTTTGTTCCCGGTTTCGAGACAAAAGCCCTGATGCGCACTGTGGGCTGCCTGTCTGAACAGGGACAGACTTTTACATCTATACCACCCGTTCATGTATCTATCGGAAAAATAAAAAATAAAAAGACGGAGCATGTTTCTTCCATGTATTCTGCAGATTATGACAATTACCCTCATGTATTTCCATAGAAACAGAGTTAAGGGTTATTTAGGTTCCCAGCTCAGCTTCGCGCCCCACCACTTTCTTCTCTTTATGAGTCACTGGATAACCCAACAAATGGGTTGTTCTTCAGCACCGTCAATTAGGTGATTGATGGTGAGGCTTTTTTTCTTCCTCTTTCCCTTTTTCCCTTTCACTAACGAGAGGCAGATGCAGACACCTCTTGGCTTAATTAAATAAACAGTGTACCAGAAAATTTGTGTTATATCCTTTTCCTAACCCGGTGGGATCCTGGACCGTTGGGGTCGGGAGCATGAGGTTCCAAACTGATCAGTGTCAGAGAACAGATTTGCTGGATTATCCCATTGAACTGTGTGGGTTTTGCTTCCACTTCTCACCTCTGCTTGGTGGCCTAACCAGGGCTTCTCCAAGTGTGGTCCCTGGAGCAACAGTGTGGGCACTACCTGGGAGTTGGTTAGAAATGCAGCTTCTCAGGCCGTACCCTAGATCTCCTCAGTCAGAAACTCTGGGGTGGGTTCAGCACTCTGGGTTTTTTTTAAAGATTTTTATTAATTTATTTGACAGAGAGAGATCACAAGTAGGCAGAGAGGCAGGCAGAGAGAGAAGAGGAAGCAGGCTCCCTGCTGAGCAGGGAGCCTGAGTCGGGGATCATGACCTGAGCTGAAGGCAGAGGCTTTAACCCCTGAGCCACCCAGGTGCCCCTAGCACTCTGTTTTAATAAGTCTTTCAGGTGATTCTGATGCAGGCTCACGTTGACCCTAAACTTTAGTCCCCTTTGGTCCCCAGCTCTCTGTTGTGGACAGCATACCCACCCGTGTGTTAGGAGTTCAGCTTCTCTCTGACAACTCTTCTCTGACTTGCCTCTGTCCCCGTCCCTCACCTGATTCCCGGTCTCAATGGGTCATTTCCTTGATGCCCCCCTGTTAGCTCCAGCTCACTGCCGTCAGTGAATCTGAGCTCTGCAGAACTCAGACCTCTTCCTCAGCCAGCTATGAGGCACCTCACCGCCCAGAATCCAAACCTCATGCCTCCCTTCTGTCTGCAAGGCTGTAGTGGATGGCTGCTAGATCGTGCTACTCTGTCCACAGCCCTTCTCTGATAGCTGTCAGAAACTCTCCAGAGAGGAAAGGAGTTTAGGGAAGGCAGCGTGGTGTTGTGAGAGTGGACAGACTTTGGGGCCAGACAGATGGTGACTTTGACACTTACGACCCAAGGGAACAATACTGAGTAACCCAGTATCTCTGAAACTCAATTTCTTCTACAATTCTGACCTGGCATGGTTTTCTGAGGACTGGGGATAATGCTTACAAGTTTCCTGGCTCGGTAGCAGTGCAGTGAAGGTTAACTATTTTAAGTTGCTAGGATAATGTCCCCCACAGTTTGGCTCCTACCAATAGACAGCCTTAGCTTGCTTTCCAATAAAGCTTGAAGTGATCTGGGGGAAGTAATCATGTAAGTAGATGTTAGTGTGCTGTAGTCACTTCCCCTCTCAGCTTTCTTCTCTATAAAATGAAGGGACAGGGCCTGAGTGGATTTTTAAGGTTTCTTTGGGCATTCCTGCGTCCTCGGGGCACTTGAGCTGGCTGGCTGCATCTCAAGCAGCCAAGGGAAGCCACGTGGAGGATCCCTGCAGAAAGCTGGGGCTACCTAGCCTTGGGAAGCCACTTACCGAGCAAGGGGGGGAGCCAGTTGACATTGGCTTCACAGTGCGAGTCCAAGAATGTGATCACATTTCCCGTTGCTGCCGAGGCCCCCAGCATTCGGGTCCTTATCAGCCCTTCCCGTTTCTTGGTTCGAAGAATCCTCACACTGGGGAAAAGGGCCATGTAGTCTTCAAGTGGCTTCTTCAGGTGCTCTGTGAGAGGGACAGAAGGGGACAGACGGGTAAAAACAGCTGCTTAGTGGCCATTCTTGTCACCCCTCCCTTACGTGTGCGCTGTACTTTATAGTTTAGACGCAGCTTTCCCGCAGGGTGCCTCGTTGGCCCTTACAGGCGGGATCAACACCTGTAGGCCCTACACGGGAAAACTGAAGCTAAAAGTGGTCCAGGGACAGTGCTGGGCCTGGAACACACAGAGCTCGTCTGTAAGAGAGGGTGCGCAGCGCGGTTTAGGCATGACTGGGACCTAGTCCCTCTCTTTCCGGAAACAATACTCCGATGTTGCTTTGTGAAACTGCCACCCCGCCTTCTTAGTAGACGCTCACTCCAACCCCTGGAGCCAGGGGCAGGAGCACGTGGCACGGGCCCAACCAATCAGGGCCTTTCATTTCCTTGCCTACAGTGTGATTGGTTCAGGGATAGCCACGTGACTCCAGTAGCTTCAAATAATGAACACTTGAGAATTTTTTTTTTTTTTTGAACTATGGAAAAATGAGGCCCTTGAGTTTTACTAGAGTTGTTAAGTTGGTTGGCCATAAATCTGGAGGTGCTGGTGACAGCTTTGGCAAATGAGGTGATAAGAGGTGGGAAGCGGGGTTCCTGCTGGGACTGAAGTAAGTGTAAAAAGAGTAGAGATGGAAATGATCCTGATGGCGTTTTGATTCCCCAGATCCCCCTGTGCCCCCGGCAGGCAGACTCCTACATGATCTAACTACATGTGAAACAAATTCCTCTTTTTGCTTATTCTAATGTGGGCTGGGTTTCTGCCTTGTGCTTGGTAAAGTTGTTCTGAATATATCTCGAAGGTAGTTTCTTTTTACTAAAAGTCCCAGACTTAACACTGGTGTCTCTTGATTTTATTATTTTTTTAATTTTTTAATTTTTTATTAACATATAATGTATTATTAGCCCCAGGGGTACAGGGCTGTGAATCGCCAGGTTTACACACTTCACAGCACTCACCATAGCACATACCCTCCCCAATGTCCATAACCCAACCACTCTCTCCATAACCCCCGCTCCCCAGCAACCCTCAGTTTTAGTGAGAGTAAGAGTCTCTTATGGTTTGTCTCCCTCCTGATCCCATCTTGTTTCATTTTTTCCTTCCCTACCCCCCAAATCCCCCATGTTCATATGAGGGAGATCATATGATAATTGTCTTTCTCTGATTGACTTATTTTGCTCAGGATAATACCCTCTAGTTCCATCCACATCGTTGCAAGTGGTAAGATTTCATTTCTTTTGATGGCTGTATAGTATTCCTGTGTGTGTGTGTGTGTGTGTGTGTGTGTGTGTGTATGTGTGTGTGTGTATCCCACATCCATTCATCTGTTGATGGACATCTAGGCTCTTTCCATAGTTTGGCTATTGTGGACATTGCTGCTATAAACATACGGGTGCACATGCCCCTTCAGATCACTAATTTGTATCTTTAGGGTAAATACCCAGTAGTGCGATTGCTGGGTCGTAGGGTAGCTCTATTTTCAACTTTTTGAGGAACCTCCATGCTGTTCCAGAGTGGCTGCACCAGCTTGCTTTCCCATCAACAGTGTAGGAGGATTCTCCTTTCTCTGCATCCTCACCAGCATCTGTCATTTCCTGACTTGTTAATTTTAGCCATTCTGACTGGTGTGAGGTGTTACTTCAATGTGGTTTTGATTTATACTTCCCTAATGCCGAGAGATGTTGAGCACTTTTACATGTGTCTGTTGGCCATCTGGATGTCTTCTTTGCAGAAATGTCTGTTCTTGTCCTCTGCCCATTTCTTGATTGGATTCTTTGTTCTTGGGTATCACTCTTAATGATGAAATACTAAATGCTTTTTATCCTATGGTCAGGATAAAGACTGTATACTCTCTCACCACTTCCATTCAACACTGTACTAGAATTCCTAGCCAGTGGAACTGGAAAGACAAAGAAATAAAAGGCATAAAGATTGGGAAGAAAAAGGATACAGTATCTTTATTGTAGGTGACAGGACTGTTTACACAGGAAAATTCTAGGAAATCTACAAAGAAGCTAGAACTAATAGGTTCACTTAGCAGGATATCAGGATACAGGTCAACTCTTAAAAAATTGTGTTCCTATGTACTGGCAGATAAAAAAAGGAACTGGAAAATGCAATTAAAAATGAATACCATTTGCAATTTAATGAAAAGAAGTAAAAACTGTACACTTTGAAAACTGTAAAGCACTGTTGAAAGATATAAAAGACTAAAATAAATGGAAAGATAGTCCCTGCTCATGGATTGGATGACTTAATATTGTTAAGATGGCAATACCTCCCATATTGAGCTAAAGATTCAATGAGCTAAAAAAATCACAACTGAATGCTTTGCAAAAATTGGCAATTGACAAGCTGTATCCTAAAATTTATGGAACAGATCAAGGGATCCAGGATGGCTAAAGCAATCTTTCAATTATTTATACATGAACATCCATAGCAACACTATTCACAACAGTCAGATGGTGGAAAGAGCCCAAGCTTCCATCAACTCATGAATAGATAAACAACTATGAAATATATCCATGCAATGGAATATTACTCAACCATAAAAAAGGAATGAAGTACTGATACAGGGTACAATGCAGATGTACCTCAAAACAATACACCAAGTAACAGATGCCAGACACAAAAGGTCACATATTATATCATTCCACTCGTATGAAATTCCAGAATAGGTAAATCCATAGAGACAACAAGCAGATTAGTGATTACCAAAGACAGGGGCAGAGAGAGAAATGGGGAGTGACTACTTAATGGCTATGGGGTTTCCTTCTGATCAAACGTACTATAACTAGTTGATGGTTGCACAACGCTGTGAATGTACTAAATGCCAATGAATTGTATTCTTTAACATGGTTAATTTTATGTTATGTGAATTTTACGTCAATTTAAAAAAATGGGTAAGGGGCGCCTGGGTGGCTCAGTGGGTTAAGCTGCTGCCTTCGGCTCAGGTCATGATCTCAGGGTCCTGAGATCGAGTCCCGCGTCAGGCTCTCTGCTCAGCAGGGAGCCTGCTTCCCTCTCTCTATGTCTCTCTCTCTCTCTGCCTGCCTCTGTCTACTTGTGATCTCTCTCTGTCAAATAAATAAATAAAATCTTAAAAAAAAAATGGGTAAAAGATCTGAATAGGCACTTCTCCAAAGATGACATACAAATGACCAATAATCACACGAAAAGAAGTTCAGCATTCTTACTCATCAGGAAAATGAAAATCAAAACCACAATCAGATACTACTTCACATCCACTAGGATGGCTATCATGAAATAGTCAGATAATAAGTGTTGACTGAGAATAAGAATCTTCATATACTGTTGGAGAGAATGTAAAATGGTGCAGGCACTTTGGAAAAGAGTCTGGCAGTTCCTCAAGCAGTTAAGCAAAGTTACCATATTACCCAGAAATTCCACTCCTAGGTAAATACCCAAGAGAAATGGAAACACATGCCCACCCAAAAACTTGTACTCTGATGTTCACAGCAGCAATATTCAAAACAGCCTCAAAGTGGAAACCATCCAAACATCCATCAGCTGATGAATGGATAAATAAATATATCCATATAATGGAATACTATTCAGCAATAAAAAAGGAAAGAGCTGTTGCAATAATACAAATGATTGTGAATCTTAAAAACAGTATGCTGGGTTAAAGCAGTCAGACATATAAGTCTAGATATTATATGATTCTATTTATGTGAAATTTATAGAAAGGCAAAATTATAGGGACAGAAAGAAAGTCAGCAGTTGTCTGGGGCTGGGCAGGAAGTGGGGACTGATTGCAAACAGACACAAGGGAGCTTTCTGGAGTGATGGAAACATTTAAAACTGGATTATGGTGATAGTTTCACAACTGTGTAAGTTCACCTAAGAACACACTGAACTGCAGACTTAAAATGGGTGATTTTTACATTACGCAAATTGTATCTGTTAAGGCTGTTAAATAAAAAAAATGTATTTCTATGTACTGGCAAAGAACAATTGGGAAGCACAATAAAAATACCCTTTATAAAATAGTTTCCTATAGTTAAAGACCCAAATAAATGGAGACATAAATCATACATATAGATTGGAAGACTCCATATTGTTAAAGAGTCAATTCTCTTCCAATTTGTCTATAGATTGAATGCAATCCCAATAAAATCACTGCAGGTTTTGAAACGGACAACTTGCAAAGAACCTAGTATAATGAAAACAATCTTGAAAAAGAACAAAGTTGAAGGACTCATACTGATTTCAAAATGCATTATAAAGTCAAAATAACAACACAGTGTAGTACTGGCAAGGGATAAACAAAAGTATCAATAGAATAGAATAGAGAGGCCAGAAGTGTACCTACTACATATATATCGTTGACTGATTTTTGACAAGACCACCAAGGCAAATTCAATGAGATATTAAAGAACTTTCAAAAATGTGAAACGAAACAAATGAGCAAAGAAAAAAAAAGAGAAAGACAAACCAAGAAACAGACAGAACTGCAGAGAACAAACTGCTGGTTACCCGAGGGAAGGTGGGTGGGGGCGGGGGGGTAGGGACAGGGGAAACAGGTGATGGGGAGGAAGAGTTCACTTACAATGAGCAACGAGTCATGTATAGAATTGCTCATCACTGTATTGTATACCTGGAACTAACAGAATACTGTATGGTAACTATACTGGAATGGAAATAAAAAACTTAAAAAAATAAGACATGCGCTAGCATAACTGGATAGACACATGAAAAAAGACAAACCTCAATCCCTACCTCATACCATACACAAAAATAATTTTAGATGGATTGCCAGTTTAAACATAAAGGCTAAAGCTATAAAGCTTCTTGAAGAAAACATAGGAGAATATCGTGAACTTGGGGTAGGGAAAGATTTCTTAGGATATAAAAAGCACTAGCCCATAAAAGAAAAAAAAAACTGATAAATTGGACTTGATTAAGAACTTGATCTTCAAAAGATATCAGTAACAAAATGACAAGGCAG